GGGTCCCCAGCCTGGGGTCTTCCCTGCACCATCCTTCTCTAAGACTCTTACAGCACCTCTGCCTTCACCCTGTGCACGTATTGATAGAGTAAATGCACACATTTCCCCAACGCCACTCACTGTTGTCAGGGACCAGGTGCGGCCCTGGTGCCTGGCAGTCAGTCACAAAGCCCTACACTGGCTTGACACAAAGTTTTCTTGTTCCCACTTTGCTGGACCCTTCCCTGCCTGTTTGGGCTCACTGGTGTTGGTTAGGTAATATTTGGGGTGCCTCTTTGCCTCAGCATTGCTCTGTTTCCTGCTCCCATGTATCACATAGTTAGAGGGTAGAGGCCGGAGGATGCTACTGTGACTCAGTTCCTTTTCACCTGTAGGACAAGGGCTGGGGTCCTCTGGCAGCAGACTCTGAACTGATGACCGGTGATCTTGGCTAGATAACCAGTGATCTTGTCCTCTCATACACCTTTGACTGGAGGTTGTGTGGAGGGAGAGGAGCTTTGTACAGCCAGTCTGTCTCCCGTTTAGTTCCTGACCTGCGGTGGAGGCAGAGGGAGCTGATCCTGTAGCAGTCAGGGGCTGGGTATCCATTCTGCAGACTCTGAAGTGGTCATTTCCTTTTCCTCTAGTCCCCAGCCCCAAGGCTGCATCTGCTTGGGAGAAAACCCGAGCTTGGGAGGCTGACCTCTGCCTTCCTGTTTCAGGCTTTGCCTGGGACAATTCCCAGAAACAATGACCTTTGTGTTCACTTAGAAAGTCCTCCCTGACACTGGAGTCACCCTAGCCCACAGCCCCAGCAACGCTCTCTCGTGTGAGCTCTCTCTCTCTCTCTCTCTCTCTCTCTCTCTCTCTGTGTGTGTGTGTGTGTGTGTGTGTGTTCGCAGGTGGGATCTGTGCAGGCTTAGCACAAGGATTGATGCCTGTAGGGGGTCCTCCTTTTCCTGTCTGTGCCTCCTCCCCAGGTTTCTGTGCTCTGTTTTCTTCTGCTCTTCTCTGTCTCTGTGCTGTGATCTTTGTACCCTTTTACATGTGTAGACCGCTCTCTTCTTCCCTTGCTTGATTTAGTCAGTTCGTTTACATATTTGTTTGGTTTTTTTAGACAAGTTCTCAAGTAGCCTAGATTGGTCTGGTCTCAGATCCCTAAATAACTGAGGATGACTTTGGACTCTTGCCTCCATCTCCCAAGTCCTGGGCTTCCAGACTTGTACACCAAGCCTGACTCCCTTATTTCTTTTGGACTATGTGGATGTGGCTTGAGAATCACCCCCAAACACACTGTTGGCTGGCCCCACCTTCAAGAGGCAAAAGTAAGATTAAGAGTAGTTCCAGACAAGACCCAGGCCAGTCTCCAGCAAACAGTACAGAGAAGTGGGTGGCCACCTAGCAGGAGTGGGCCCGTACAGGTGCAAGGACAAACAGGACTGTCTTTGCCCTGCTCCTGAAGCGGGACAGACGGAACCTTACCGGTAAATTATGAGCCTCGTGGTAAAATACAAAATAATAGCAATGGGCTAATTTAAGATTTAAGAGTTAGTTAATAAGAAGTGTCAAGTAGTGTTTTAATTAATATAGTTTCTGTGTGATTATTTCAGGTCTGGGCAGCCAGGAAACAAACGAACAGTCTCTGTTTACATATTGTCCTGAGTATGACTTGCATGGTGTCTTTCTCCCCTCATCGCAAGTCGATATTCCTATGTATTCTCAGTGCCTGCTGTTGAAAAGATAGATGCCAGTAATTGGTGTTAGTGCCTGTGTCTGCACCTTCCTTGTTCTCTTTCAGCTAACTCCTATTCATTTGTCAAGACCCAGGTCCAGTGACTTCTCCCAGAACTAGTTCTTGTGCTTATACACACACACACACACACACACACACACACACACACACACACACACACTTGCTCTGCTACTCACTGCTTTGAATCAAGGCTCTGGGTCTTTCCTTTTCCTGCCTCTGAGCTCCTGGAGTATGGGAAGCAATACTCCTGGAGTATGGCACAATCTGTAATGTCTGTGTTTTAACCTATCTTTGTGGCTCATCACAGTATCTTATTTGTGCTATTGGCTGTGTGTAATATGATTTCCTCAGCCATTTGGCTATCTCTGGCAAAGAGACCCCTGTGTTAGTGCCCCCTTTCTGGATCCCCCACAGCCTGAGCCCAGAACAGAGCACGGTGTGCCTAGAACAGCTTGATAATTCTCGAGTCCAGGTCGTGGTCTGTGTAAGACTACAGGGCCCTTGGCGTGTTGGGACACCCCTTTCATTTTGGACCAGCCATATAATTTATGAGGCCCAACGATGGACTCTTTATTTAAAATAAATATTACAGAGACTGGAGAGATGACTCTGTGGTTAAGAGCACTGACTACTCTTCTAGAGGACCCAGGTTCAATTCCCAGCACCCACATGGCACCTCACAACTGTCTGTGACTCCAGTTCCAGGGGATCTGGCATCCTCACATAGATATGCATGCAGGCAAAACACAAATGCACATAAAATACATTATTACAAATTTCAAAATGGGTCTGGAGGTGTATAACTCAGTGATAGAGTGTTGGCTTAGTATGCATGGAGCCCTAGGTTTGATCCCAGCACAATCAATCAATCAGTCAATCATTAGATAACTCACAGATAAGAAAATCATAAAGAGCTCCCAAACATGTGAAAGTATGTTGGTGATATATGTCTGTATTCCAAGTACTTTAGGCAGTAAGATCAAGTAAGCCAGCCTGGACTATATGAGAACCTATCTGTAAGAAAGAGAAAGCTGGGCATGGTAGTGTACGCCTTTAATCCCAGCTCTTGGGCGGCAGAGGCAGGTAGATCTGTGAGTTTGAGGCCAGCCTGGTCTACAGAGCAAGTTTCAGAACAGCTATACAGAGAAGGCCAAGGCTACACAGAGAAATATTGTCTGGAGAAAAAAGAAAGGAGAAAAAGGAGTATGTAGCTTTTTAGAGTGCTTGCCTAGCATGTATGAAGCATGGGTTCAATCCCCAGCATTGAAAAGATAAAACGGAAAAACAGGAAGGAAGAAAGAAAATGACAGAATTCCAAAGCAGTGGCAGCAGAGTGGTAACGCCTAGCCACCCTGCAGCCCCAGTGCAGGAAGCAGCCGGCATCCATGGCTCCCCTGTGAGGCACACAGCTCAAGCCCTTCTGACGTACTGTGAAATGAACCACATGGGTGGTGAGCAGCCTTGGGTTACACTGCTGGTCAGCGACAGCTGGCTGGAAAGGAGCCAGCTCCTGGAGCTCGCTAGGTGTCTGGTGCTGCATAGGGCCATAGCACCATGAGCCTTCGTTTCTCTCTTTGTAGTCTGGGACCATTGGCCTGACAGACAGGCTAGCTGGCTGGGAGGCCTGGGTAGCCCTGCCCTCTGATGCCTTCACTTAAAGCCACACAGTTGCCCTTCCCTCCTCGGAAGGTCCTGCGCCCCATGGACAGGAGGGATAATTAGTGGTCTCGGCAGTTGAAGAAATGAAAGCCCCTCAGAAGTAGGAGGAGGTTCTTCTCCTTTCATCTCGTTCTGAAGGAATGTGAGGGCTTGGGTGGAAAGTTCCCCAGGGTTCCTTGGTATTTCAGAGCTTTGATATCTGGAGGAAGAAGAGAGCAATTAATTGCTATAAATGGCCTGTTCCTATAGGGCTGCTTGGATGGTGGGTGGGGGTGTCGGGCAGAATGCTGGCACTTCATCCCAACCGTCCTCTAGATAGAGGGACCCACACAGCAGACTCAGAGACTCTGAGCAGTCTTGCAGTTCCACTGTGTGGGGCTGGGGAGATGGCTCAGTGGCTAAAAATAGTTGCACTATAGACTTGAGGACCTGAGTTTGAATTCCCAGCACCATACTAAAAAAATGACCATGTGCTTGTAACCCATTGAGGTTAGGGGTGAACAGAGATAGGCAAATCTTAAAAAATTGCCACCTAGCCAGCCAGCCACATGGTAAGCTTCAGGTTAAGTTTGAGTCCCTGTCTCAGAGGAGTGAGGCCAAGAGTAAGAGGGGGAAACACGCTGCATCTTCCTGTCACCTCCATATGCGTCTTCAGAGGTGTGTATACACACACACACACACACACACACACACACACACATGCACTCACACTGTGTTTGCGAAGATCCCCTTGTAGAAGCTTGCCACCCTTAGCCTCTCGGCAGTGTTGACTACAGAAAGGGGGATAAGGAGATATTCCCAGGCTCCCTTGGTCCCTCCTGCATCTGCCTCAGAAGCCATTGCCCTCAGGCTTGGCAGGGCTGAGCAGGGTTGAGACTTGGAGGCTGCTCAAGGCTTGGTGTGATATGGAGGCTCACAAGCTCTCAGTGCCCTGAAGTGATTGTCATGGATCCCTTCAGTAGGCCACACCACCACCAGGTTAGTTAGCACATATTAGCCAAGTGATGAGATTGGTGGGGAAAGGCCAGAGAAGCTATGTTCTTTGGTTCTTGGAAGAGATGTTCCTGGGGCATAGACTTGCAGCCAGGCCAGTCGGAGTATAAGCCTCGGTTGTGCCTTCTGTATATGTGACATGCATCTGTACCAGTGTACAGCTGCAGATATCAGCTACACACAGGTGGACACAGCTGGAACACACAGGAGGCAGAAGATGAGGACCTGGCCTTGTTTTCTGAGATGTTTGGTGGGTGGGAGGTCATCTCGTGCAGATGCAAGGACTTGCCCATCACTGTCACAGTGAGTCACTCTGGTCCCATGTCTCTAGACAGGGTGACTGGCCCAGAGAAGGAGGTGTGTGTTGTGTTAGCGGGCAGACCGGTCTGAGCCGGAAATGGCAGGCCTGGTGCACACTCAGCACCCTGTCTTAGGTGTTGGAGCAGGCTCCCTGGGCTTGCCTGACACACAGGTATTTCTGGACTATGACAGAGCCCATGGCCACTGGCTTCGTGCCAGCACTTCTGTTCCCTCCGCGTGGGGGTGTGCACCAGGTTCTGCTACAGCAGCCTCTGGGCCCTTCTGGCTCCTCCCATGACCATGTTCTATGTTTCCACAGGGCGGCACCTTCTTATTTCTTCTCAGTCGCAGCCCTCCCCTTAGAGTTGAGCATCGGTTTGCCTGAAGTTCATTTCCAGAAGCAGGTAAGGACCTGGGGGGAAGGCTCTGTTGTGTGGCCGTGGGACAGTGCTGCTGTGAAGGAGGTGGGGGAAGCCTTGACATACCAGATTCACCCACCTCTCTGCCTTCCTCCATGGTCCCATACGATGCTTGTTTCTTCCAATATGAGGGTTCTTTTTCTTTCCTGTTTTTTTTTTTTTCCTTGCACTGCTGGGCTTTGAGCCCTGGCCTTGTGTATAGTAACCATGCTGTACTGCTGAGATGCCCTACTTGATGTGTGGATTCTTACAGCCGGTGTCACCATGCTGCTGATTTTTCAGGCTAAGATTGAGCAGACTCTGTATTTAAATGTTTTATTATTGTGTTCCATATGGGGGTCAAAAGGGGAGTGCAATGACAGTGCCCACGTGAGGTTGGTTCTCTGTTCACCTATGCATGAGTTCTAGAAATAGACTTGTGTAGCAAGCGTCTTTACCTGCTGAGCTACCTTGATTGCCCTGGGTTAATATTTTCTGTAAACTCTATAAACTACATGCTGTGTTTTTTATCTGATATAAACCCTATGAAAACATGGATGCATTTCAAAGTTGCAGAGCTGTTTCCTTACTGTGGTGCATTGTGGATGGTACTCAGGCCTTGTGCCATCCACAACATCCACTGAGCCACATCCCAACTTCCCTATCTGTCTGTCTGGCTATGTTGCCTGTTTGTGTTTTGGAAACAGGGTTTGCTGTAGCCCAGGCTGACTTCATACTCACTGTGTAGCTGAGGATGACTTTGGAAGTCCTGATCCCTCACCTTCTGTATCCTCAGCAACGGGATCGCAGGCGTGTGCCACTATGCATAGCTCCTTTTCAAAAAAAAAAATTGTTCCTATGCTTTAAAATTTTTGACCCAGGCTGGACAGTAATGACATACACCTTTAATCCCAGCTCTCAGGAGAAAGAGACAGGCAGATCTCTCTAAGTTCAAAACCAACCTGGTCTACAGAGCTAGTTCTAGGACAGGCTTTGTACAGAGAAACTCTGTCTTGAAAAACAAAAAACAAAAACAAACAAACAAAAAAAAAACTTAACCCAGGCATGGTGGCAGGCATAGGCTTTTAATTCCAGCACTTGGAAGGCAGAGGCAGGCAGATTTCTGGGAGATCAAGGCCAGCCTGGTTTATATAGTGAGTTCCGGGATAGTCAGAGCTATGTAGAGAGAGAGACCCTGTCTCAAAAAACAAAACAAAACAAAACAAAACAAAAAAAATTTTTGACATGTGTTCTCATTTTATAGCCCAGGCTGACTTGAAAGTCACTGTATAGCCCAAAGTAGCTCCAAGTTCAAGGGCAAGCTCCATGCCTCAGCCTCCTGAGTAGGATTCCAGTTGAATGTCCATGCCCAGCTCTCGTGGCGTGTGTGTGCGTCCTGGGACTCAGTGTGTAGACCAGGCTGTGACATCCTCTTGCTTCCCATGCTGAGATTATAGGTGAGAGGCACCACACCTGACTTTCCTAGGATATTTTAACATGGACAGAATGAAAGGCAAATACTGCAGTCCACAGGGCAGCAGCGCTTGAGACCCAGCCCGTCCTGTGGTCTGGCACAGCCTGAGTTTGTTTGAGTTTTCTAAGCAGATGCAAGACCCCCATTGTTCTAAGTGCGAGTGTGCAAACAGCATTAGCTTCAGGTTTATAAATAAAAATGTGCTCAGGGCCACTCAAGCAGGGCAAAGGGGAGCCGGCTGTCAGGCTCCTTATCAGCTCTGATAGAGACCCACGTGGGCAGCACTAGCCTCCCAGCTGCAGGTCACATTCTTGGCCTCTCCCGCTTCTGAAGTGCCTTCAGTTGGTCCATGAAAGTCTGCAGAGGTCTGGTGGGAATGTGACATCACTGTCCTTGATGTCTCTCACACCTCAGTGCCCATCTCAGCTTGTGACCTCACAGTTCTCTCAGTTCTGTGGGCCTTGCACAGTGGTTGGGAACCAGCCATGCTTCCTGCAGCAGGGGGCAGTCTCAGGTGTGCGGTGTCTGCCTGTGCGTGGTGACCCTTAGTGTCTGTGTTTATTCCGTCACAGGGGATTTTCTGACATGGGACCATTTCATACACGGCATGTGGTTTATCACCACATAATACAAAAACCACCTCTCCCCTCCTGCTCATTTGCATGATTGACAGCTGCCTGTTGTTTCTTTCCATTTTCCTTTTCAGTTCTCTGACTCCTGAGAAATCTTCTTAGTGGAAGGGAAGCACTGCCCTATTTTTAGGGATGGGATGTGTGTAGGAATAGCTGAAACCACTCCTACGATGCATCGTTATTTTTGATTCTTATGTCTGAGCTTGGATAAATAATTAGTATCTAAATTAATTGCAGTTTGAGCTTATGTAATTTAAGCACATTTTAATGGAGACCAGTTTTTGATCCCTACAGGGGAAAATAGGAATCCTCCAGTGACATTAATGTAGTACTTGACAGAATTGTGATGAAAATTTAATAATATATTCGCCTGGATAGGCAGCAAATCCAAGTACACTGTAATACGCTTACGGCACACCAGCGGCCATTTGTCTGGGATGATTATGACTTATTCTCTTCAATTATTAATCTTCCTCACATCGACACCCGTACAGAGAATTAGGACAGAATTACATCAGTTAGGACGCTTTCTGGAGCATTTGGCCTGGAATGTGAAGGGCAGGGACCTGTGCTCCACTTTCTATCCCAGAGCCAGCCCTGGGCGTTCCTTCTCAGCAGGCAACAAGACAGGGTCAGCAAAGCAGAGCTTTAGCAGCACCAGTGGGTAGAAGTCCTTGCCACCCAATCCTTGCGCCAGAGTTCAATCCCTAGGAGAGAACTGAGTCCTGAGAGTCACCCCCTCTGCTCACCATGGTGAGCATACAAGCATGCAAATCAATCAATAAATAGGTGTACGCAGAATACTAGATTGCAAAATTTTTTCAAAATGCTGAGTCAGGATTCTCCACTTGTTCCAGGCAAGTGTGTTAAAATAAGAATGGCCTGACTCCAAAGACCCTGTTGAGCCCTGCTGCTGCAGACGCTAGGAGCTCACAGCAGGACCGCAGCAGCAAGGAAGATGGGATCTGCCCATCTCTGGGTGTGGACGGGTAAAGCTGTGGGGCAGAGTCTACAAGGCAGACGCTGTGTGAAATGACTGCACAATGGCGGTCCTCCAGTGAGCACCGCCGTGGCAGCACTAGCCAGACCCTGCCCTGTAGGAGCAGCCCTCTGAGTGGAGCCCACCGTGGTTAGAGTGTGGTGTGTGAGCGCTTCCCGCCAGAGTGACTGTCAGGAATTCCCGTGTTGCCAGGACACCCAGAAACCTTTGTGTATGGCGGCACCTTGTGGCTGGTTCCTTGCATGCCATGCATCCTTCAAAGGGACTGGCCATCTGAAAACCAGCCCTTGGACATGAGAGCTCTGACTCCCAGTGTGAAGGCTCCATGGATTACTGATATTTGCTGGAGGTCACAGTGGCTCAGGCCATATTATATACTTTGGGATGGGGGAGTCCTTTGGGAAAGTAAAATTTGGTTGCAGGACTCTGGGTTAGTACTTAAGTCTCTTAATACAATGACATTAGTTCCAAATTGGTATATATACAGTCGAAAGGGGGTAAAGACTGCTCCCCTGTTCCATTCAGCCAGATGGGCAGTACTTTCTAAGAGCCTACCGGGATCCAGGTTCTAGGAGGACAGGCAGGCAGAGCAGACAGCAGGGAAGGGAAGAGACCATAAGCAGATGGTCCAACAAGATGCTCAGAAAACTAGGACAGTGAGACAGGGCTGTGTGACAAGAGGTGGAGGTACAGAACTGACCCCTGGAGAGTTACCTTGAAGCCAACATGAGGACAGTTCTGGGTCCAGGGGATGGATACTCAGTGCAGAGGCTGACCAGCAGAGGAGCAGGGAGAACTGGGCTACAGGGGGAGAAAGATCACACTTGGCCTCGCAGGCAACCGTCCAGGACTAGGAAAAGTACTTTCAGGTAGAGCTAGGCAGGGTAGGGAGTGGGATCTCTCTTGACCTATATAGACTTTTTCTAGCAACTCTGTAGGGGAAAGGACAATGGAGGATGTGAGTGGGCTCTGAGGCCAAGGCCATAGTAGCCCAGGTGGAAGCACCAGGAAGGAAATGTAGCCACAACATCGATACTCAAGGTCCAGGCATGGATCAGCCTTGTGCGGTCCATCTCCAGTGCTGGTGCGTGAGCTAATGAAGGAGAGCTACCCCAGATCCTTGCTTCCTGCTGGGCTCTGCCAGAAGTGAGGGCCATCCACAGGATGGTGTGTGCCCTGGAGACTGTGCTTAAAGCCACTGTGCCTCTTCCCAGTCCCTACTTGTTATTTGACCCTTTTCTGAGCCCAGGGTGAGTTGGAAGGGAGCAGACCACAGAAGTAAGGAGTCTGGGTTCTAGGGCTCCAAGGGTGGATACGAAGACTCTGGAAGGAGCCTGTGCTGTGTCAGATATGCAGACATAACGTCAGCCCCAGCTGGCCAGGTTTTTAACCTGTTGTGTGGGCTTGCAGGGCGAGGGCCCCATTAGGCTTTTGAGCAGCTGACAAGTAGATACTCAGGAGCTGTTGCCCAGGCTCCGGCACATTCCGGGGTGCGCCCTTGGCATGGAGTATTGACTTGTCCAGCATGTCCCTGTCTAGGATTCATGGGCCACTGGGAGTAGATGGTGTAAGCAGTGTCCTTATCCTGCCAGCTGGGTTCCCTGTTCCCCGAGTGCAGCTCCTTGGTAGCAGGGCTGCTGAGGCTCCACCCCACCAGCTGCTGCGTTATTTCTGACTTGTCCAGGAGTTCAAGTGTGTAACCCAAACCCCTAGATCCTGTCTCCTCTCCCCCAGCTCCTTCTGCAGGAGGAGGCTCCAGGCTTCTCTTTCTGGGGCTGGCTGTAGTTCAGGTCAGAGACACCTGGACACAGCCGCTGGCCTTCACAGCTGTCTTCAGGAGCTACCCTCTAACAGGTGGGTGGGTTTGTGGGGGTGGCAGTAGCAGCCCTACCAGTGCCTCTACTCCATAGCCCTGGACCAGCCACCCCCAGAGAGGGAGTCCTTGGTGCCTTGCCCAGGAGTTGGCCTCTTGAGTTTGGTAGGGGCTTTGGCACAGGGTGCCGTCGCTGCCATGGGTGCTGATCTCACAGTTGGCTGTGCCAAAGGCCCCGGCTGCCACCTCTGACCAGTTCCTTTTATCTCTCACTCATGTTGTCTGTGCTGAAAACCTACAAGTCTTGGGACTTCGTGCCTCATTTCCCCTGTGGCTCATAACAGAAACCGTGGCCGTCCCCTGCAGCCTATTCTCTAGAATGAGTGCTCCTCAGCCGTGCTGCCTGGGCCTTGGTCAGGAGGTAGTCTGAACCCCCCACCTCTTCTGACTTCTGTGCTGTCAGGATGGGGCCCCTACTGGGGAGTGACTACTGAAGAAAGGTGTCAGTATTAGAGTGATCTCATCCTGACGTTTTCTCCGTAACGCTGCCCCTCTCCTTGCAGGAGTCCCCAGAGCTGGGCCAGGGGGATGAACCGCGAGGGAGCACCCGGTAAGAGCCCGGAGGAGATGTACATTCAACAGAAGGTCCGCGTACTGCTCATGCTGAGGAAGATGGGGTCAAATGTGAGTGCCTGTGGGGTGTCAAGCATCTGGGTATCTGCCGCCCCGAAGGAGGGACGAGGCAGCAGGGGCCAGTTCAGGCTCCCCCTACACGGAGCCCTGCATGTCCAGTGTTGGGGGGGTATTGCTAAGAGAGAATCTTTCTACTTCATTGTTGATTTTCAGCCAGGGACTATGGGGATTTTAACCTTCCTTTCTGACCCTCAGTGACCTCAGAGAAGCTTCTGGGCAGGGTGACCACAGAGGAGGGCAGTAGGCAAACAAGCGCAGGGACATCTTTGGAAAAGAAATGGAGGGATTTGGAATGGCTGATTGGCTGCTGGTGTCTGGCCAGGGCCTGGCTTTCATACCTGCTCTATACCAGAAGAGACAGAGGTCTAGATTCAAAGTGACAGGATATGTGAACTTCAGGGACCTGGTTCAGGGTGGAAGCAGGGAGGGATTGCTGGGAGACTAGCGGCCACCCCAGGAATAGAGGGCAAGGAGCACGAAGGGAGGTACTAGTGGGATGAGGTAGGGTGCCTTTTGGGGACCAGGTCCGTGCTCCCCTCACCTCAGCACTCTCACTCTGCAGCTGACCGCCAGCGAGGAAGAATTCCTGCGCACCTACGCGGGGGTAGTGAGCAGCCAACTCAGCCGGCTGCCACAGCACTCCATCGACCAGGGTGAGTCAAGGGCCAGGCACCAGCCAAGCCCTCCCAGTGCACTCAGCAGTGGCTCTTCACAGAGCTGAATGGGTGATCTGGGAGTCTAGGCAAGAGAAACGAGGCCGTTGTTCCCCCTCATCCACAGACAGCCTCCCCTCTGTCCCATCCCCTCAGGTGGGAATCATGGTAGATCCCTTCCCAAGCCTGGAGGAAGGAGGTAGTCATGTCTGGGGGCCTGTGTAACCTCAGAGGGTCTGATTATTGCATCTCTTCAGTCTGAGCCCTGTCCTCTCCTCGTTCAGGGGCAGTGAGCCGCTCTGTGTGTTCTTGACAGCATTGTCCCTGTGGGGCACAACTGTGCAGTGACTGGCCAGCCTGGCGCTAGCAGGAAGGGACAACTCAAGGGGCCTGATGTCTTCATATAACCAAGGGAGTTTTGAGGATCCTCATGGTCCAAAGTCCCACGAGTGTTTATTGAGCAGCAGGGGCTGTGCCCAGGGACCGGTACACGTCATTTGACAGTTGCCAGCTGTTGCGTGTGTGACTTCCATTTGGCAGGCAGTGGTTTGGAAGCAGAACTCATTGCCCTTGACCACACAGAAGTGCCTAGGAGTCTGGGCAGCTCCCTGTCCCTTGGCTGCTTATGGAGGCTCTCCCTGTCTGAGAACTCAGCCTGGCACTGTCGCACAGCGTTCTGAGCAGCATCTCCTCACACTCCTTCTCTGTCGTTCTCACGCTTTGTTGGGATTTTGGCTACAGGATACCTGAGTGACCCCTGGCAAGTTCAGGCAGGGGCAGCCACCAGAGCAGAGTGTGCTTGCTGTGTTGAGGAGCACATTGGGCTGCCTGGCTATCCTACATGTTGTGGGCTCAGCCCTGATACAGGGTCTGCCTCCCTAGCGCTGGTGCTGGATGTAGCCCAGTCAGCTCGCCAGAAATCTCCAGGAGACCTCTGCTAACTCGAGCGGTATGAGACTATGTGTGTCTCCTACTCAGCCTGCCCAGGCGTACCTGCCTGCTCAAGTGTGCTGCGTGCTCACCAGCACCAAGGCCAAGTGTGTACGTAGTCTGTCCTACCTTTCCACTGTCTCTTGGATGAGTCCTTTTTTTTTGCCACCACTGGTCTGTGCTTTCCTCTCGTAGCTCCAAAGCCAGGTCCCCCAGAAAACCTCAGACGTCTGAGTTCCCAGGGTCTTCCTTTCCTCCCATATCATCCTGAGTCACTGAGTCTCTGAGTCTCTGTACAGATGTCCCTAGTGGGGAAGAGACAGTAAGCAGATGCTCCAACAAGACACTCAGAAAACTAGGACAGTGAGACAGGGTGGGGTGACAAGAGGTGGAGGCTTGAAAAAGTAAAGAAGCCGTGGGACCGTGTCAGAATAGGCAGCACATGTACCCTGCCATACATTTAATCACGTATGCATATAGAAAAGATGTTGGGATACGTCCTGAGCTGTTAGTAGGAAAAAATGATTTATGTGGTATTGAGGATCAGCCCTGGGGCCTCACGCATGCTAAACTGTACCATACCCCTGACCTGCACCCACTTGATAGAACATACTGACTGGATATAGGTTTTCATAACGGATTTTCACTTTCCAAGTTAGCAAGTTTTGTAAAATATTTTTTGTATGTTGTGCATGAATCCTTGTGTAATAAGAAGTGAAGGATATATTTTGTGGTACCAGGGATCAAACCCAGGGCCTTGCACATGCTGAATAGGCACTAAACTATTGAGTTCTAGCTACTTGCTCTTAAGAAGTTATACACTGGCCCAGAGAGATGGCTCAGCAGTTATAACAAGTACCTCTCTTGCAGAGGACCTGAGTTCAATTCTCAACACCCATATCAGATAACTCACAACTGCCTGTAACTCCAGTGTAATCTAATGTCTCTGGCCTCCATAGGCACCTGCACTCACATGCACAGAACCACACATACACATAATTAAAAATAATAATAAGACAAATATTTTTTAAAGTTACATTATTTAGCCTGACATGTTGTATACTTTAATACTAGCCAGAGTTCAAGGTCAGCCTGGGATATATGAGACTATTTTAATAAACCATATGTGTGTGTGTGTGTGTGTGTATATATATATATATATGAAAGCTCACTTTGCTGAACCAACAGTTGGGAATACAGTGCAGCCTGCTGTGTTGTTTAAGGAGGTCACAGTTAAGGTTGAGGACTTAGCTCAATGGTAGAGTGCTTGCCTAGCATCCATGAAGCCTTAGGTTCAGTGCCCAGCATCAAGTAAATGAGTGGCACCCCCTGTGAATCCAGCACTTGGGAGGTAAAAGCAGAAGAATCAGTTAAAAGTTATTGTTGACCACACAGTGAGTTTGAGGTTGGCTTTGGGTCACAGTGAGCTCACTCCTCACTGTTGCCCTCCGTGCAAAGCTGCTGACTCAGTCATAAGCACCAGGCAGGTGGGTGTGACCATCCATAGACACTCTGGAATCTGAGGCCTCTTGGGTGTGTGGCAGCGTAGATCCTTTCTTTGCCATGGTATGGGTTTCGGATTGAGGGAAAATCGTATCAGACAAAGGATGTAGAGGATCCTTTGTGCTGCTGATGCCACTGTAAACTGCCCCTTACCTCTGGAAGTCACCCCACCGGGAACAAATGCTACTCCAGGAGGCTCTAGGAATCTCAGGGGATCAGGAGGAACCCAAACATGGAAGTCTCAAGCCTTCTTTTGTTTTCTCTGTTATAAATAAACCACATACAAACACCTATTAATAGAACTCAATCTAGTCTATAGTCTAGGTCAGGAGCTTGTGTTTGTCAGTCCTGTGAGGCTGAGCAGGTTTACAGTAAAATTCTAACCTACCTCCTTCTCCTTCTCCGTTGTCAGAGCCAACCTCAACTCATGCACCAAGGTATCCTGCTGTCTCTGCCTAGGTGGCCAAAGCCTGGACCTGGGACTAGGAGGAGTCTGGCACTTTTTGTCCACTAGGTGGCTCTGTTTCTCAGCAGATGGCAGAGCTCCACCCTAGAGTTCCCTGAGCTTGAGAACCTTCCAGCAACTTTGTTTGGACTGTCCCTCCACACAGAGGTCCTGAGGCAGACCCACCCAAAGGACAGCACTCAGCCTCACCCCTGGGAACCCAGCTGCCATCTAGGCTCATACACTCTTACCTACTGGGGTGCTGGGTGGGGGTTAGTACCCGAGAGGTACAGCTACTAGTCTAGCTGTGTTTATAGAGAATGGGCAGAAGACTGCACCTCAGGGCTGATCAGATGGTTTCAGCAGTGGCCTCCCAGTACTAAACAGTGTCCCCCACCTCCCCCAGTTCTCAGCCTGACTGATCCCTATTAAGCAAAGATTACTATAACTGCCTGCTTCCTCTCCTTCATCCTCAATGCTCCCCACTTCCTGTCCTCTCCAGTGCATTAGTGTCTTTAGATTCAGTCTTTTTCCTTTACCCTTTCCCTCTCTACCCTATTTCCCATGACTTCCACAGACCTCAGGTCAATACCTTCCAAATATACCCTTAGCCCAGTCCCCTCTCCAAATCCCCAGAGCGTCATCTGACTGTCCTTACACAGCCCCTGCCCTGCATGCTCAGCAGGTCCTACTGGGCCCTCCTTTCCAGCCCACTTCTCACCTGTGTTGTCACCAGGTACGGGAGCAGGATGGCTTGGCTTATTTCTAGCACTGTGGTTGTTCCTAACGGCTTTGATTCTCCTGCCTTAATGTTTCCCAGATCTGTCTCAGCCTTTCCTTCCTGTTTGACTTCTTGTCTTAGGTTTTTGTTGCTGTTGCTGTTGTTTTGTTTTATTTTTATTTTTATGTGTGGGTATACACCATATGCCTGCAGTACCCATGGAAACCAGAAGAGGGCACTGGATACCCCGAACTGGAGTTAAAGATGATTGTGAGCTGCCATGTATGCTGGGAACTGAATGCAGGTCTTCTGTAGGAGCAGCCCGTGCTCTTAATCTCTGAGCCATCTCTCCAGCCCCAATTGTCTCAGGCTTTTTGTGTGTTTCCAGACAGGGTCTTGTATGGAATAGGCTGGTGTTGAACTTGCTTTGTTGCTGAGAATGATCTTAAACTTTTAAAAATATTTTTCGTTTATTTAAGTGTGTGACATGATGCACAGTGGAGATCAGAAAACAATTTTCAGGTTTCAGTTTTCTCCTATTATGTGGGATCTAGAGGTTGAACTCAGGTTATTAAGCTTAACAGCAGGTGCCTTTCTCTGATCAACCTTATGCCCACCCTGTCTTGAACTTCTGATCATTTTTAGTGCTAGGATTATTGGCATGCCGTGTTGAGGACCAAACCCAGAGATTTATGCATGCCAGGCAAATACCCTACCAATCGAGCCATTCCCTATCCCTATGCTCAATTATTTTTTTTAAATTAAGCAACAGCTTATTTTATTTTATTTAAAGATTTATTTATCTATTACATTTACAGTGTTCTGCCTGCATGTATGCCTGGAGACCAGAAGAGGGTACCAGATCTCATTATAGATGGTTGTGAGCTACCATATGGTTGCTGGGAATTGAATTCAGGAAGAACAGTTAATGCTCTTAACCTATGAGCCAACTTTGCAGCCCCAGCTTAATTTACTTTTGTGTGTATGTTTTCTTTGTCTGTATATGTGTGCTTGGTGCCTGCAGATGCTAGATGTAGGCACCAGATCCTAAGATCATATGGAACTGGAGTTATGGATAGTTGTAAGTTGCCATGAGGGTGTTGAGAATCAAATCCAGGCATCTTCTACAAGAATGACAAATGAGGGCTGGAGAGATGGCTCAGAGGTTAAGAGCACTGGTTGCTCTTTCAGAGGTCCTGAGTTCAATTCCCAGCAACCACACGGTGGCTCAGAGCCATCTCATGAAATCTGATATCCTCTTCTGGCCGGCAGGCATACATAGAGGCAGAATGCTACATACATAATAAATAAATAAATCTTTAAAAGAAAATGACAAATGATAGCCACTGAGCCATCTCTCCAGTCCCTTTCCAACTGAGCTTTTAGAGAGGTCCTCAGTGG